TTAATATTAAACAGCTCTTTATTAATGCTTCAATTATTGCCAAATGACTATATTAGTAATACATTTAACTTAATTGAATTTTAATAACGAGTTCTTTCATGTTGGTCTAGAATTCTGTTGTTTGCTGGCGAGGTCATTTTATTAGCTAAAACATAATACCCCGTTTGCACTCCATAGATTTTAAACGATAATCTCGTTAAAGGCATCCGCTTAATCTAGTTACAGCCGATGGTTTTATTTGCAGCCTTTGGTTTCTAGTTTTCGACTTTTGTTTCTGCGTTTCGTGGAACATTAATTGATTTAATGATTTCGTTGGCCAAAAACAAATCCCATGGCTGCTGGCCGAAGTGAGCGATAATAATTTTGGTTTTGTTAACGAAGCGTTAAAAATCACCAAGCGGCAGGCAGCATAAGTGGCAACAAACTGTTGGCGGCAGTTGAACAAATATCGCTCTCTGGGTATTGGTGCAAGTGTATCTGGCAGATAAAAAGCTTCACGCGTGGCAAACTTTTTTCAAGTGCAGCATGCAACTTTGCAATATTGAAAAGAAGACCTCTGAAAAAGTGAAACTCCGAGTCGCTGGCAGAAAACCAAGCATAACTGTAACCATAATTACCGACAGCAATGAAAAGCGAAACAAAATTAATGAAGTGTGTGATAAGCGCCGAGGGAAAAACTGAAAGCAAAGGAAAACCCCGCCATTCCGGCCAAGACAATGCCTCGGATACTTGGATACATGGATACATGGATACTCAGATACTTGTATACTCGGATACTCAGATACTTGGGTACTTGGACTTGTTGCTGCCAGTGGCATGTATCTTTTGCCGACGCGGAAGTGCGGGAAAAAATGTTTCGTTACTTGGCCAAAACAATGCACAATGTACGACCGACTACAACTAACAGGCAAACACTCACGCGGGAATTTGTTTTTTGCCCGCAATGTGTTTTTGTATCTTGAACTTGAGGCATCATCGGGCAAGATGTATCTATGGGCGTATCCGTGGTGCAACTGTGTGTGGGTTTTTCGCAGGGGTGTCATGGGTGTGAGCTCGACATGAAAAATTATCTCTGACAGTGCTCAAATGGAGAACAATTCTTGGGATTGTGGGTAATAATTACCTCACGAATATTGAGACACTTAAATGAAGAGGCAAAAAATGAGAAGGTACAAATGAAATCGAAAGTAATTGTTACTAATAACTTTAGCTTCCGAGATTGAAATAACAATAAATGAATACCTTAACTACAATTTTCCATTAAAATATCAAAAGAGTAAAGAAGAATGCTTTGCTTAAAGTATAGTTTACAATAATAGATACAAGTTAATAGATACTAAATAAAGTTGCTTTTGGTGAATCACTTTTACCTTTATTTTTCTTTAACAACCCAAAAAAATCCCCTTGATAACAAAGAATCACTCCATGGTAAGAGCATTAAAACAACATAAAAAAAATCCACAAAGAAAAAAAAAACAATCAACCAGAGGCAGTGACTATTTTGACCAAATTATGTCAGAGCTGCCTCCAATGCTCCAATGATGTCTAGCTCATGTTGTGTTAGACTTTTTGCTGACTTTTGCTGTATGTGAGGATTTCTGTTAAGATGATTTGTGCCAGTGCCACTTGAACTGTGCGTCAGCAAATGATTGAGGGAGATAAAGCCCAAGATGAAGACGATGTCGAAGATGAAGACTGTGGAGATGGAGGAGATTGAGGCGATGGAGGCGATTGAGGAGATTGAGGCGATGGAGGCGATGTTGGCCCTCGGCATGTCAGATGTCGATGGTGATGATGCTGCGGCTGATGTTCATGTTGTTAGCTTTTTTGCCCCCGATGTCTGCCTGCAGTACGTATACTAGGTATTATTGCATCATCAAGCAGATTGAGCAATGAGTGGATTTAAATACAAATTTAATGGTTTCGGTTATGGCCCATTGTGTTGGGTCGTTCAACTGCTTCCCTAAAAGAGATTATCGATTGGATTTATGGTTGAGAATTAATGTTTTTTACTAACAATAAATCAAAGAAGATTTTCTAACTAAACCAGTTAGCTCTTACAAATGATTACTTACTTTAATGAACAATTTTTAAATAAAATGTCTTCTTCTGTATTCAAAAGCAAATGTTTTTAAATTAAATATTTCATTATCCAAACACCCTATTCCTTTGATGAGTACAACAAATGCTTTTAAATATTAAACAAAAAAGGACAAATTTCTTTGACTAAGTCCCCCATGCAATTCATTTGGGAATTCATATTTATGTTTGAATGATTAATGCACGTTTGAATAATTTACTCAAAGGAAACAAGCAAACGTTTTCGGGGAAGTGCTTTTTGCGAGCCGACAATTGTCCCGAAATTTGCGAAAGGAACCACAAAAAGCGTTTTGCTGACACATCAAATGGGAAGCGCACAATTACCGGCCATATTTCTTCGCTGTTTCCCTGTTTCTGCGCCATTCATTCGCCAGTTTCCCTTTTGTGGGCTGAACACGTGCAAAATGTCCAACATGGTGGCCAAATGGGGCCAAAGAAGTAAAAACGCCATAAATGCCCAGGTCCACTTACAATTATTGCCCCAGTGCAGGGAGACGGTGAGTTGCAAAAAAAGGAAAAAAAAAGAAACAAAAACGAGGCAAATAGAGACTTGCGAGCTATGAAAAATCGAAAGTGGCAAGTCGAGTGACAAGCGGGGAGCAAAGCAGAAACATATGCTCTAACCATTCGATTCGGTTTGGTTTGGACTCGGATTCGGATTTCCAATTGGGATTGGGTTTGGGATTCGTACTGGGATTGGGATTGGGCCTGGGTGCAGCGCAATCTGCGAGTCAGCATCTCTAATGCTCTAATGCAGCTGTTTGTGGATTACATTGGTTGCAGAAATGGTGATAATTAATAAATAGTATAGCCAATATAACAAAAAACCTGTGAAACTAAAAAGAACATCAATTATGGAATCTATTATTTGAACAATGTGGGTCAAGATATCATTTAGTGTAGCTACTCCGTGAAGATTTATTATGATTATTAAATAAATATTAACTTTTGTAAGTTAAAAAATGCTTAAGTTGATGCCAGTTAAAGCTACCATAAAGTTCATTCTTGTTTGGCTTAGATAATAATGAAATATAGTTTGAAAATCTTACTGTTGCAATTAAAATGACTATAATTTGCACCACTGTTCATTCGAGGGGGTGGCGGGGAGGTGTTGCACAGTGGTTTGGAGTGTTTTGCCATATCGAAGAGCATGTTGCACAATGTCGCCGGTGCGAGTACATAAAAGATACTGGGGGAAAAGAGCCGAGCCGAGCCGAGTGCACACACATATCGGAATTGGAGCAGAGATCAACGAGTCTGCCGCCAGTCAAAGGCAAACATCTGGTTGTGCCACCGCACCCCGTCCCCCTCAATCCCCTTCCCCCTTTTCTGAATATGTACCCCCCATTGGGTGGCCAGGTGCAGCCGGTTTCCTGTGCGTTGGCAACGTGTGCTGCAAGTCTCAACACGGCGTTTGCCATTAAAAGCGGCAAATTGCTCTGCAGCCTTTGCTTCAAATGGGGGCAAATATATGGGTTCTATGGCAAGGAATGTAGGCCCGATGAACTGGAAGGTGGCTAAATGAACTGAAAGGATGCCTGGAGAACGCAACATTTTGCGAGGCACTCGTGACCAGAAATTCAAACGAATTTCGAATGTTGTACGTGGTTAAAACATGCAAGACACTCACAAACCCAAAGCTACTAAAAAGTAACTGAAATTTATGAGAAGCAGTACTTTTCAATTTTATTTTAATCGGTTAAAAACGAACTTTTAGAAAGCATTTGCATTTTCTTAAAAGCTGTGGTTGCATAGATTACATAAGTCTTGAAAAAAAAACCCAAACAATTAGTTGTTAATTGCCCTTTTGGTGACTATCTAACCGCAAGCTGTGGGCAACTTCAGCTGGCCTAATTGAATTGTTTTTGGCCTATACCCCATCAATTGTTTGTTTGCACTCGAAACTCACCAGAAAAAAAAACACAAAATTATAACTGACCTGACTGAATAAACACCATAAATATCGGCACGATTTTGGGACTACCACAAAAAAAAAAACCAAACCGCCACCGCATTAAAAGTGAAAGCTTTTTTTTTGGTAGGTTTTTTTTCAAACAATTAATTTTATAAATACTTTCGGTAGCTTTGGAAAAAAATGAATAAATTATCTGGAATTTATTTTTGGGCCAAAGATGCGGCCGACGATGATGGGAAAAGTCTCGAATGAGAAATGATGCTCATCACCTGTTTTCTTTCTTCACTCGAATTCAAAGGCGGCGAATGTTGCCCCACCCAGAGATGTCGGTTCAAGTTGAAGTTGAATGATGTAATTTCTCTCAGCAACGGCTTAAATTTCTTTCCTAGCCACAAAAAGCAAAAACTTGAACTTGGCAGTGGCTTTTTTAACCACTTACTCTAAGCCAGGTTGTTATTACTCTACTATAAACTTGAAAGTATTCAATTAATGGCGTGTAATTAAATAAAGAGTTTCATGAATCATGATTTTTACGAAGCATGATGGTTAAATTTATTAATAATAAAAATGGTTTGGCAGTTTTTATGTATTGAACTTCAGTAGAGCAATTTCAGTTCGGTGAGTAATGCACTTAGTTTTCTTGATATATCTTTGGCATTTCTTTTGCGCAGTCGCAGTTACATTTCAACAACTAGTAAATTTGCATATCAATGTGACTTTGAGTATCTCCGCAAGTGTGACATAAGCACTTGCTGTCACTTTAATTCCCTGCTAATTAATTTGCTGACCGCCCGAAATTACACCCAACCCAGAGTCATAAAAGCCGAATGGAAGCTCTAATTAATTTTGATGGAATTTCGGAGATGCGGAATAGATGCTCTGGCCAATGCAACCCGAGGATCGAACCACTTCGAACATGCTGCGGGCCAAGAGCAAAAGACTGGCTTGTAACTTGGCTCGAACCGCTCTGGCCAAAACAGTTGAGCGCCGGTCGAAGAAGCGAACACAACGCGTTTGCGCATGCGCGTGGATCATGAACGGATCATGAACGGACGTGCCTGAAATTCGCAATTCAAACATTGGCTAAAAAGAATACCACCAAGTGGAGAATTCTACCGCAAGTGTCAAGTGACCGACAGCCAAACAAATTAAAAATTTATATCCCCCAAACCAAAAAAGGTGAATGAAACTTCCTAGGAAACTGTGTCAAAACCAAAGAAAGTTGCCTTTAAAATAATATGTGGGCTGGGTCCCCAGATCTTTTGAGGTGTATCTTCAGCTTTGTCTGTCGAGTGTTGTTTTTTGCGGGCTTGTCGAGTTTGAGTGATCATCTGCGTGGGTCTCTACGTTACATGAATGAGAATGCAGTGAATGTGTAATGATCATCACCTTTTAAGGGGGGGGTAAGGTTTTAAAGGCCAAAAAAAGAGCCATGTTTGATTTTTTTTGCAGCGAATTGAGTAAGTTTATTTTTTTGAGCTTAATCACATTTAATTGTTCAACTTTTGAAGAGTATTAGAAAAAAAAATTATTAAAAAATATTTTGAAATAAGCCTGTGGCGGTTAATCTTCCGAAGCGCCCAAAGAAAAAGTTGCTTTGCGGTGAACATCATAGGGCGTTAACGGATCATCTTAAAAATAAAATGTGATATGCGTTGTAAAGATAATGAATTTCCCGAGGTAATCAGGAAGAGTTTTTTTTAAATTTATTTTTTGTCTATTTTTGGGAGCACTTGAAAGTGAAAAGTGCGATTTTAGCTTAAAAAATCGCTGTTAATTTATTTTTAAAAAATAGAAATAAATTAAAAATTAAAAAAATCTCTTCCTGATTACCTGCGTATTTATGTTGAGAATTTGTGTTAAAAATTTGAAAAGGATCGATTCAGTAGATTTTGAGTTCTGATGTTCACCGACTTTCAAAATAACGTCTTCGGCAAAATTGATTCAAAGTATTTTTATACGTGAAAATACGCCCAAATACGGTTGTTTAAAACGCTGTAACTCCGTTAGTTTGACTTTAATTGACTCAAAATTTGTACACAATGTTCTCGACATATTAATCATTCAGAAAAAAAATAAAAAAAAAAATGTAAAAAAAAATTTTTTAAAACCTTACCCCCCCCTTAAGGAATTACGCCCTGGCATCCGAAAGAACTGTTCTCTTCAGGTGATTCACGCACAAAACTTCTGTTCATCTTCGATTGGATTTTGTTTGGAGGTGTGGCAGTAGCATTTTGGGAATTTATTTTCACCCTGATCTGGATTCAATTCATGTAAATCCGCCTTTGGGTATGATATCACTCGATTGAATATTTATATTCGAATACCTAACAAGGTCGACTGGCATTTGCCAAACTTGTTTCCAGTTATATTTCATTATAAATCGATGTCGAAATATTTATGCGGTTTCTTACCTTTTTGCATAATTTGTGCTGAATAAGAGTCGGACAGGTTGCTAATTATTACCTTAATTGAGATTTTTGGACAAATCAAATAAAAGCAAAAGTGTACAGAAATGTTGCTAAATTAAAAGAGTGCCTTGAAGTTATAATTAAACACTTAAAAGTCTTTCCTAAAATTCAACTTTTGTTTAATTTAAATGTTAAAGATGTAATTATTTCGTTAATCCCATTAGGCTTTTGATATCTGTCCACCTAAGACTAAATAGCTTTTCCGCAAATCATCTCAAATGGGATGCAGGTAGCAAATAGCTATCAATCAACCAACGAACGCTTACAAACTCGACTGATTACACAAAGTAATTCGACGCGAACTTGACACATTTGATATGCAAATGGCCAGAAGCCAAAGTCAAAGCCAAAGCGGCAATTTGCGATGAGATGAATCCCAGGTTGAGGTTGACCGTAGTAATCAGTCAACCGCAGAGCAGTGGAAGCCTCTACCAAAGATGCCAATTAATTAGCAGGGCCTAAAGGCATTAAGCGGTTCCGTATCCACAAGCGAGTATGCATATGCATATTCGGCTCTAATTGCGGTTAAGCACTGCGCTTGCAATTAACTTTCCATGGCCCATGTGGCGTATACTTAATGCGAGTTTCCTTTGCAAAGAACTTCTATCATTTACGAATACAGAGCAAACGAACAAGGAATAACTGAACAGAATCGAATATTTAATAACTTTTTTGGAGTTGCATTGTTATTTAACTGCCACTCTCCTTCCGAATAAATTTTTGATTTCGGCTGAATAATAAATAGCTCATGACTAAAGCCCTAAACTATTTTCTCTCGCGTGCAAATCGCTGGAACTGCATTCAGATGGGCTTGTGTATATATCTGATGTATATCTGATGTTTGGATATATGCCATAAAGAGTGTATAGACCCTGAAAGACCCGCAGATACTCGATTTCATTTGCGTGCCACCGCCAAGTCACGTTAATTTTTTTCCTGTGTAGCTTGTGTGTTTTATAAATTCCCATCTGAATCCATTTTTTTACTTTTGTTGCCTTCGAAGCCAAACAAATGTTAATCGATAACCAAAGCGATTAAAACAAAACAGCCAAAAACAAAGCAAACACCACATTTTTATGCAAATGCACAAATTACAAATGCCTCGGAAAGATTGCGCAAAACCTTTTTTCAAATGGGCGTTTGCAAGAAATCGTTACGAGAAAAAACCCAAAATCCACAATAAATTATGAGCTTCAAAAAGTTGAAACAAAAATGTTATTTTAGTGAAAACATTTCATATACTTTATTCAAACGGTTTTTGGATGCCTATTTTTAAACAATAAAGTTGGGACCATAAATATTGAATGGTTTCATTCAACGAACTCTAGAGATTCAATCACAAATGCCATATTTAGCTTTTTTCGCTTATTACATTCTGAGATTATTTTTAATTTCAAATTTAAAAACAATGGATTTATTTACGTTGGCAATGAAAAAACTATTTCTGTTTAATTTCAATTCGATTTCACTTTGATATCAACTGCAGCTGACAAACCCATCAAAAATCTGGTTAACCTTCCCGCCCAAATGGAAATTGTTATGGTTTTCAGTAAACTTAATTCCACTTCGTTTGTTTTGCATATTTTAATGAAAATCTCTTGCCGAGTGGCTCCATTTTGGTTTTTAATTAAATAGATATTTTGGGATTGCGATAACTGCAGAAATTAATTTCTGATGGCCAAAACGAATGGCAGGGATAAAGTAAACCAGTTGGTCGACTAGTACAATATCATTGCTTATTGGCTATTGGAATGCCAATTGATTGACCGTGCTGGCTGCTCTATGCAGATCCATAAACCGGCTAATGGTTTCGGTGGAGTCGTGAAGTGTAACACCTGCAAAAGATATATACTCGAATTCATATAGCCGGTGTGCAAGGTAAGCCGGCACAAAATGCCGCGGAAAATTCGCGGCCAGCTTCGAAGAACGGGTTCGATTGGTTGACGGAAGAGTTTCAATATTGGTTGCAATGTTTCGTTACGTAACCAACCAGTTGCAAGTGGATGCACTTGCTCGTGGTTTTCTCCCACCATTAACGCATTTTCTTGGCTTATATTTATGTGTTTTGATGACTTTTTCCTTTGGCATTTCCCAGCATGCGTGAACGCAGTCAAACGACTCCGCGAAGGCGACGAGCGGGTCCCAAACAGCCGCTGCCTGGCAGCTCCACCTCCGAGGGAGTTGGCGCCCTGGAATCCCCCTATTACACCATTGACAACACGGAGGACATTTATGGAACCACCTTGCTGCCATCGCAACGCTGCTACGTGGATCCCTGGGATCTGGAGAACTATGATTATGTGCGCAAGAAGATCGACGATCACGAGGCGGTGGAACCAGCTTATGGGGGAGGTAACTCCCTGACTCCGAGTCCCACTTACGGCTATGGAGTGGGCATGTCCGCCACCATGCCACGCCCACACACACAAACACGCCGCGTTTCGCGTGCCCAGTGTCAGCTGGAGTGCTGTGTGCCCCAAAGGACGCGTCGCAGGAGTCGAGGTGTTCGCAAGGAGCCACTCTACACGGCAAGGAGCGACATCTACGGAGCACCCAGTCGCTACGAGGACTACATGGCCACCATGACCAGGCAGCTGCACCTAGATGACCACGAGGACGAGGAGCCCGAGGACCTTTACGGCGAGGAGCAGCGACAACTATACAACGGATTTGGGGGTAAGATAGAAGTTAAATCAATTTATTACTTTGTTTTCATCCCTGTTATTCGAATTATATAATTTTATAATACTATCCCTTACTTATGGCTTTGTTTTGCATTTAGTTCTTATTGAAAATACTTGGTGGCTCAGTTAACTTTTATATGTTATTCTGCGCGTTGCTTTACGAGGCGGTTTCTAAAATAATGATTTTAAATTTGTAAATATTGTTTTTCAAACAGCGATTTAACAAGGAGTTCATGTGGAGAATACTGAATTTGTCTTTATTAATATCTCAATACATATGTATCTACAATAACTATTGACTGTTGCCATCTTTATTAAAAATTCATTTATTTACCATATGAATATTACATTAGATTGCTTTGCTTTTCTTTGCTTTCGAAGCTTTTAGCATGTATTGTTTGACTTGAAGTTTGTGTTTGCATACAATTCTATTTAAATGCTTACAAAAGGCTGTCTTTTGTTGTCGAAAAAGGGTAAATACAACATATTTCTATAGTATACCAAATGTCTCTTAAATCTTAAACTTAAGTACATAAAATAAATTTAATTTAACATATATTTTGTTAAAATATTAAATTTTGTTACTTTTCAACATAAACATTTTCCAGGCTTCTCCAGCACCAGTTCCACGGAGCACCCCTCGTCCATTGGGGATGAGCAGCCGGTTCTCCAGCGACGGGCAGCCACTTTGCAAAGACGCTCCGTTCCCAGTCAAATGAACAAGATTAACAACAACAACATGAGCTATGGAACGGCTCCTCATCCGCGAAGGAAGCGAAGTGGCAAGACGGCTTCCCCTCTGACCATTCCACCGCAGATCGATTTTCCCGCCCCGCCCCCTTTGTCGCCCGCCTACGACTACTGCAATCCATACGCTACACTGCCGTACTGCAGCGTTCCGGATTGCAGTGAATGCCAGCAGCAGATCTACAGCGCCCCCTCCACGCTCTACGGAACCATGGGTGGCGCAGGAGGAGGAGGTGAGGGGGGATCCAGGGTGAGGGGATCATCCCCCCACTCCAGCGGAGGCGACTCGTCGCTCTACTCGGGAATTTACGCCCGTAAATTCGGACTGAGCAAGAAGGGTCTGCTGCAGATCGATTACTCCTGCAGCTGGAACGATCTGGATCGGGTGATGCAGCGCCATTTCTGAGATCCTTGGTCCTTCAGCAGGTGCTTGGGTTAGGGTTACCATCCACATCACCGTCCGCATCACGTTTGCACCGAACGCGAACAGAAACATCTTTGTACTTAAGTCATTTTGCATATAAAACATACAAAACACACATACACACACACAATACCAAATAACTGAACATGTTTGTCGTAGATTTATAGTTCTTCATTATTGAAATTTACTGAATAAACATTTGAAAGTCATTAAATGGGGATCTTTTATCTTGTATCTCAAATAGTTAGCTAGTAAATATATTACTAAATACTTTCTGAAAATATATTTGAATAGACAACATAACATATTACATATACTAACTTAGCTTGACACATCTAATTAGCATAATCCGAAAATGGTTTACCCAACCCAAAACTAACTATCGCTTTCCAGTTTCAACCAGAATGTCCCTTGCAAATGCCTTTGGGCCAGGCCAAGTTTAATCAACTAATTAGGAGACCGACCATTGCAACCAAAAACTTGACAGTGAATTTCCTCATCGCATCGCTCTAATTAGTTGTGACGTCACGAGACGAATGTGCCATGTTCGACAATTTGTTTTTGGGGGACAGGCGAACATGGAAATGGTTTTAGCGCAGGACTTTGATGAATGTTGGGGGATTGTCGGGCCTAAGTTGGTCGAACAAATGCCAAAAGCAGGAGAGCAGGTGACGAAGAAGTTCCTGTTTTGGGGTGAAAGCGGGAAAAACTTTTTAAAGCACACTTTTCGGAGTTCGGATAAAAGGAAAATCCATTAAACTTTCCGCCATCAAAGTGGAAAATGCAACTTCAGCTCGATTATCTCGGCCCGAGGTGCACAAATACACCGAGCGACCTGTACAAAAGGGAAAATCAATAAGGTAAATAAAACGGAAAAGATTTTCCTCTATCTCCTTTGCTCTCTTCCTCTACTTTTCACCACCCCCACTGCCCCTCCCTTTTGCCGCTCAATGCGATTTCAATTTCTCAATCCAATTTACCTTTGCAACAGGGTATACACATCAATACACAGTTAGAAATTAAAGGGGAATTTGTTAAAGATATTACATATATATTATAAATATAATAAATAAGATTTATGAGTAAAAAGTGGGTCATATTTTATATATAAATCATTCCTCTTAATAGAGAAAAAATACTATTAAATATATTGTATCTGTAAATGTTGTTCCCTTTTGAATTTAAATCAAGTCTTTAATATTAACAAGGCTTATCTTCTTCCAAATATTTATTTTATTTCCGTGTATCAATTCCAATACAAACACAAATGCGAACCAAAGTACAAACACAAAGCACAAGTAAATCATAAAAAGCAGCAACAACAACCATCTGCAAAGCGAAAATCTGAATGCACAAAAAGAAATGAGAGGAAAAATTGTCCAAGTCAAGGGGGAAAGGCACATAAAAAAAGAAAAACGCGGGGAGAGGTTTTTCCTATGCACATAAAAGCGCAAATATTTGCGCAACATTTTCGTCGTCGGCGACGTGGCGATAAAAATCGAACAAGAAAAATATGCAAAACTGAACAAGCAGAAAGGGAAATAAAAACGTCGCAAGAATAAGCCCAAGAAAATAAAAAAAATATATATATACTTATGATGTGTATATTTCTGTCGGTTCGTTTTTGTAATTTTTTTTTTTTGTTGCCACGGATTTGCTTTTATTATTGTATAACGTCAAACATTTGCATGCGGCGACGCCTAAATGTATGCCACACTTTGTTCGCCAGCTGCCACACCCCTCGGAACAAAAAAAAACCCACCGCCCCCCGGGCCACTTTTTGCATTTGCATTTATGTGCGGCGCCAATTCGAGCGCTGCCACGCCCCCTGATCGCCCCTGCCTACCTCCGCAAAAAATGCAAATCGCAGCGAAAATATTTCGCACTTCCACGGAACGGAGTTTGCCACCTGGCCACGTTCAAGCCATCAACCCATCAAGCAAACGGAACCGAAGCCCCATTCCACCTGCGATTCCTATCTCGCAGTGAACGAGTGCTCGAATTTGGCCCAGAAAAGTGCTCCCAATTTGCCAGGCCTCAGCTGGAACTGAAACGGGAGCTGGAGCTGGGGCAGAAGGTAAGCCCTTATTGGGAAAGCATTCTGCCAGGAAAATTGGTAGCAATTTCAAAGGAAAAATCTCATTTTCAGTCATTCACATGCACAATATGTAATTCTATTCTCAACAGAAATTCATGCCAATTGTTTAATAAGTTCATAATGAATTTGTAGTTTAGGTTTATTGGTTATCTTTGTATTTATTTTTTACCATTTTTATTATTTGAATATATTTTAGATTTTAGAAATCTCCATATTTTGCTGCAATTTCATATTCAAGAACACCATTCATATTCAATTCCTCCCCACTTTTTCGCACTCTTTGTGCCTTTTGTGTCTTCTTTATTTTTTTTTTTTTGGTTGGCTAAGCTTAAGAACAGAGCATAGCAGAAAAATAGAGATGAAATGTAGAAATTTGCGATTTTACGTTCCATTCTCCGCTGCCGGCTTAAAAAAAAAGCGGGAGAATTGTCTGCGACAATTGTAAGTCGTTTGCACAAATTGCAAGTTAAATGGATCCTGGCCGTCGGGTCTGCCGCTCCATTTGATGGTGCAAGAATAGCAGGGCGACAAGATGGTTGGTAGCATATAATGCGACTGCCACTGCGACTTCGACTGAATGCGACTGACAAATGCAAATGAGCTGGGCGGACAATCAGTGGAGTATTATCTCTTTCGCAAAAGAGGAAACAGCTGTCAGGTACAAAGGATTCTGGATTTGGCTGTAGATTGATAAGAACTCCAATTTAAAATTATTTTAATTCAACCCCTTTACTATTTTAACTGTCAGAAACTCACCATTCAAATGTGAACAAGCCAAACTTTAATTAAAACTATGTTTAAGCTTATCAAGCGCAAAATGAATAGTTGTTTGCTAAGCCTCTAGCCGAAACCCCAATTATTTTGGGCCCTCCATCATATGTGTGGCAAACTTTTAACCCTAAGCTTCCATCATGTGGCGAAAAATCTGCAACTAAATGCCCTTATAAATTACAGTCAGCTGTCAGAACTCACGGTTGCTACTTGTTGTTGCTCTTGTTATTTCGCAGTATGCAAAGCACTCGAGTTAAAAATAAACCAGCAACCTGAAAACTTAATTAAAGTTTTTTCTTCCTTTGTTCCTGCCGCTCTGAAGGGAAACAACAAACAACAAAACAACAAACAACAAAACGAAACGAAACGCAGAAGTGAAGGAGGAAAAAGGACATGCCAAACAAACAACAAAACGCAGTCACTTACTCAGTTACTATAGGTGTGTATATATGTGTGTGTGTGTGTGTGTTTGCGGGTGGCTGCAGCTGTGTGGGTGTCTCGTTAAGCCAGCAACTCAAAATGGCGCCCGAAGTCCTGCTGCCGGTAGTTCCTTGTGTTCTCTATGCAATTTGCCAGCCATTTTGCACCTTGCAATGAAAATGTTTTTTAATTAAAAACAAGAAAGAAAACTTTGCCGAAGGTTGTTGAGAATATTCGAAACTGAAGACTAAATAAATACCCTATAAATTCAGGGAACATTTCAACAGCATAAAACTTAAATTTGTTGCTCTACATTTTGCTATAAATAATCATTTCTTTTTGTTGTTCAAGAGGTATTGAACGTTTAAGCTTATATATTTCAATCTATGATTGCAAGATAAACAAATAAAATATTTACAAATATGCAGGTTTCTTGGAATAATTGCAGTTCAACATTAACTAATAAACCGCAAACGTATACTGCTGACATAACGCATACGCAGGGTATGCCCGCATAAAAGACAACTTAAGCCACAGCAAGGTGTAGAAAGTGTCTGACATTTAGCGCCTTTGAAAAGTGCTGCAAACAGTTTATAGAGACAAACACGAGAAATTTGCATATATCTGTGTTACTATGTGCCCGAATCTACATATATATGTGGATATATATCTCTCTGTTGTATGTTGTGCTTAAGACGGGCCCCTGGGTTGCCATTTGCTAATGAATAAGTTAATTTCGTTGGTGGGCCTCAGTGGGGAAATGCGGAGCGGGAGCAGCTCGTCGTGTTATTTATGTGGCCGCTGCCTGACTGTCGCCCATTTTAAAACCCTCAAAGTGGTCATTAGAGACTATGGCTCAGTTGGCAGTTACAGTTTCTGCTTCTGTTTCTGTTTCAGTTTCAGTTCTAGTTCCAGCCAGAGCCAGTCCCGAAGAGAGCGAGAGAAATGAGACATAACAGAGGGGCTGCACTGCGTATACTTAATTTATATATAGGCAACACCCCCCATCCGCCCCGTTGCACGTAGAACGTACAACAATGGTGGACACTAAATATATATATATGTAGAACGGAACGGAGAATGGTGAATGGAGAGTGTTGAGGCACCCAAACTATATTTAGTTGCGTACGTGCACAGTGTTGCTGTAAATGCAAATTAAGTCTTTTGCAGCACAATATAGCTTTAGGGTGCGGAGCCCAGGAATAACGTAACGTTACTTGTTGTTGGCCCACTGCCGCATTACGGCCAAAGTGTTGGAGTTACGTAAGCCCGAATCCATTAGTTGAAGCAGCTAAATTAAAATAAAGGACCGACCAAGGGAATTGCGAAATCAGGAGGTGGGAATGGGCGGTATTTGTTGGCAGGGGGTTGGCTGTCAACAAGTGTCTAGGTGCTCCATTAATCTGCATTTCTAGGTAAGCGGTGTTTTATCAGCTTTAAAGTTATTCCCGATCTGCTCGACCTGAAAAGTGTGCATTAATTATTCAATTATGTAAGACTGCAATGCAAGAATATACATTTTTCAATTCACTTAGATTTCAGATGATTTATGACATTTATAAGGCAACAAAATTCCATTATCCTTTCTACATTTCCACAAAGCCTTGACATCAGTTTTAAATTAAGAGAACCATTTGTCTTTGGCCAATATCCAAATGAAATAAGCTTGTTACCAATGAAAAAAAATCATCGAATTGCATATAGCTTTCAAAAGATTCAATTCAAAGATGAGTATTTAATTTTGTTCTTCTTTTAGTTTTATGTGATATACGGTTTTTCCATTTTTGCAGAAAATAAAAAAATTAAAGCAATCTAAAATTATTGCAGGAGTCAACCGCACAACTAACAACAACAACAAAGCGATCACACGACAAGTTGGCCAGAAAGCCAAAGGGGGAAAAGTGCTAAAGAGGGGAAAGCTGCAT